ATGGTCATCCTCCTGTTATGGCGTAATTATTCCGTTGAGTACACTGGACTTGAGCACTAGACTCGAGTTTCGCTCCTATTAGAGCTCATCAGCAGTGCATATTCAATGGCCGTGCCGGGATTTGAACTCCGGACATCTGACATGCGAGACGAACGTGTAACCATTACTCCACCAACGCACGTTGGACGCATCTGAATTTTCACGTCTGATGAGCTCTAGTAAGAGCGAAACTCGAGTTCACTGCTTCCCTTTGGTGTGGACTCACCGGAATAATTGCGCCAGAACAGGAACACGACAGTCCAAATGAGAGTGGTGTGACTATGAACAAGATACTTATCCCACAAAACCCCAAAATTGTAACGCTGGTTCGGTGAATGCGCGGCGTTCGGCTACAAATACGCTCAGCTGATCGACTTGGCTAGGTTGCTGATAGTCATTTCAACAGCAACCCTTTTTCTAGGTTGCTTTCCAGTGAGTACAAAGAGGGTATACTCGGAAGCCCGGCGCATAGAAAGACGTTCCGTCAGGTGTGGAATCTTGCGACGGATTTCAGCCTGGAACGTTTGTTTATCCTTCCATGCGACATAGCTGGCCCTTATGGCTCTGGTTGCAGATGAGAAACCGTGGAAAACTGCCTTTTGAATAGTTAGTGGTTGTAAAAGGTAATGACGATAGTGATAACCAATCTTGTTGGAATTCTTGAACGTTTTCGTGAATGTTTACCCATTTTCTTCAGGAACGGCTATTCTCAACAGATATTTCTGTAGCTCTCAAGTAACACGGTATGAATGGTTCGCGGTAATTTTACGGAACATCATCAGTTTCAACCGAGATCAACCTGCCAATCAAACTATCGATTGAACGAACCGAGTGATGAGTTATCAGAAATATGGCAACAGCCTTGAATGTCACCAGCCATACCTGCACTTCGAATTCCACTTGAGTGATGCGTGAGTCTTATTGGTTATCAAAAGCCACTTTAAACGTATCCGAACAAGTCATTCGACAGAAAATGTTGATCAGTCACTCCAGTCATAGTACCATCCAAACGAGCAAGCGTGAGAAATCTATACACTGCTCTCATCATAACTGTTCACAAAACGTGGGTTATAAGGCGTGAGTTTAGTGACATATCTCTGTCTGGTCGGTAACAGTGCTACCATTCCGTGTCTACAGCACGGCGGTACTACTTCCTTACGTGGTGATTGCATTTGTGAGAAATGATGGGCTTTGATGTTAACAAGAGACTGGTCCCTATTGTGGTGTAAGGGTTTGTGTGCCTCATCGAGACATTGAATTTAACTGGGTGGGGGTGTTTTTGCGACGTTTGCTTGTCAATGATGAGAGTTCTGACCAACACGGTCTCCTGGCCATTCAAGTTAGGGATCGGAACATGCGCGCGGGTTTTTCTTTAGAAACGACAGTGCATTTACATTACCCAGCTCCCTTCTCGTCAGACTTTTTGAGTACTGCAATCGCCCTCCTGTCTAGGGTTGAGCGCACTGTCGGTACCCCACGTCGCATACAACCTTGATACCTAAAACTAGCAAACTGGCACGCCACTTGTACTTTAATTACACTTGTAAGTAATGGCGAACTTTGATGACAACAAGAGGCTGGAGCTTATCACGAGTTCGGTAGACTATTCCGTTTACTGTCAGTCTGACTGGGGCATCGGTTTTTTGATTTTTGGTAGGCCATACAGCCATGATCGGATTGCGCTTCCGCGGAATCGTTGATACCAGTAACCTTGCTCTAAGTGGTTTTTCACAGACCGCAAATACTCGCCAATATCAGCCTTATTCCTATCCACTATAAATGTAATATTCCAACTGTTGACCTGCCGCTATGGGTCCTCAGCTAGGTTTTGCCTGACCTTTTGTAGATAACCACAGTAGCCTTACCTTTATCCACCTTTGTGATCACTATGTGGTCCATCTGTTTTAAGTTTTTTGACACTCTTTGGTCTGCTGGTCTTATATTTGGAGTTCCTGGCTGCTTGGACTTAAGGCTGTGGCCAGCTGTACCCATAGCTCCTGTGCCTTCATTGGTGGAAGTTTTTGAAACACCGATTCAAAGCAAAGTATTATTTCTTCCGCCCTTATCACTCTTTCGCTTACTGAAAAATTCAACACCTTATCTAACGGATAACGCTCTTTTCTCCCTAGGATCTGTTTGATAAATTTAACACGCTATAACATCCTACAGGTGACTCAGGATTAGTCATATGCTCACTAGAAATCCGAGTCTTAGAAAGTAAAGTTTCAAACTCACGGATTCGTCTCTCTTTGCAGTGTTGTCCTTGAGTACCTGTGAATTCTATCGCTTGCATTGGGATTAACTGGAAGTCTGTGGGTGACAGCACGGTCTGAAGGTCTTGGTTGCGTGGTGGCGGATATGAGAAAACCGCCGAGTACTCAGGTAGATCCTCTGTTTGAGGAATGACTTGGCCACTAATGATGATATTCGAGCAGAAGCAAGTCACGTGTCTGATGGCCTAATCAGTAAAGATGTAGAGATTAGGTTGTGCTTTAAACGCCGTTTATTGAATATGCGGTGATTCTGTCAGTTTGCCTCTATCCTTCCCAATCGAACGTCGTCAACTGACAATTTGCGAACTAATGGTCCGTAGTTGTGCTCAATTAGTTGGAAAATTTTGGACTCGGTTGAGAAGTTACCGATTCGGAACGGGATTGGTAAATAGCCGGCAGGGGTTTATTTGAGCGATGTTTCGCATTTGACACAAAATCTTCATCAGGCAAATTGAACAGGTCGGCAATTTGGCCAGGTTTATGGCAGCGCACTAGGTCTTGTCGGTAGGCGTGGTTGTCGAAATATTGCGGTTGGTGGGTTGTAGGAGTTTCGAATTGGTTTTGGTCGGGTCTGATTCCTAAATCTCCCAGTTCAGGTGTTTCAATTGATAATTCATCGCGGGTGAAACAAACACGATGTTCCTGAAGGCTACTTTTTCCAGCATCCTAGAGGATAAATTGGTTTGTCCGGGTGCAGCTCACAACCATACGACCGTAAACAAGAGGTAACCAACATGTGATGAGTTCACCCCCCGACTAAATCATTTGCCTAGAATTTCGGCCTTCATCCATTCACGTCGTTTCCCGAATGTCCTATTCCTGGACTGCTTCACCCAAAACCTGCCTTTGCCAAGCTGACCAAATATGACATCACCCAGCTTATCGTGCCCGAATTGCGTGGCTAGAGGCCTATATCAACCGGTACACTCGGTGACCTTAAAAAGTAAACACTGGATAAGATGTTCCCCGGGGAAGCAAAATGCAGCCAGTTTGCTCATCTACTGCGGTCTTGAAATGAGTTGTATGTGAACAGTTCACGTGAACATTGTTGCCTGGCGACATGTCCTGCATTATGGTATTCTGTGGGGTGTACTGAAATGGTTCGGATTTTATTTTACACCTTCACAAGTAAGAGTTCGTGTGGCGTTTCAGTTCGCTTTTAAGAAGTACTTCACACTCACTTCAGCTGATTCTGTTGACTGTCAACAGCGTCAGGTATATCTGAAAATCTATATGAAAGGAGTTCGACGGGAATCTGCTATTGTTGTTGAGGAGATTACGGACTGTGATGCTGTCAGGACGCCAAGATCAACGCAGCAACAGCTGTGATATCTTCCGCATCAAACTAGTGTGTTTATAGTCCAACAGCGTCAGGGTTGTGAACACATCCAAGATGCTGTAAACGTCTGCCCCGATCAAAAGCCGCTGGTAACTTTATTAATGGACGATGAACTATCCACTCATTGTACAACCCGTCTTGGACATTCATCCATTGACGCCAGTACCACCACACCTTAAGGAATCGATGATTCCGCAGTGAGTAAAACGCAGTGGCGATTGGATCTACATCACTACTCAGTACGGGATCGATCGAAATATGCAGATTTGGTCGCATTTTTCCAAGGGAACTGGTGGGCCAGCTATTTGAACCATTTCGAGTGGCTAGTGGATGTCTTTTCCAGACTTTCTACTGTTAGCAAATAGAAACGTGGAAGTGTGATGTCAGTGACTGCAAAGATCCGCGTTATGTCTGCAATGCTCGGTTTTGTGGACCATTATATCTGTGTCGATTTACACTGAAACTTGGCTGGTGAACTTTACCAGGCTTGGATCACATAAACAATGCAGTCAGAGTTTCGTGGTCTTAATTTCAGCCCTCCCAATTGCCTTGCAGATTGCTTTCAAAAAATAGTGGGCCATTTTATGTTTTTCAGCGTAGTTTATCTACTGAACTAACAATATGAGGCAATTTTACGTCTTTTTGTGACTACATAACATCGTTTTCGTAGTTTCACGGCTTTTTTAGCCTTTTGATTGCCGATTTTTTGCCTCAAGGCAGAAGACAAAAGTCGCCACCTTTTGCTTATAGACTGTAAAGGACCTCCAACTTCAGTTCGCCTTTTCGTAAAAGATCTCCACAGTTGAATGAAAAAATGAAATAATATCTCTCCAGTGGTATGAGCAATTTTCGTACAATCTTCTAACTTTGGTCCGTTCAAATTACTGTGGCAGAAGCCTTCAGACTAGAAAACAAAATTAGTCAAAATTTGGAAAATAGTCAAACAGATCGCAAATCACAAAATCTCCTCAAACGATTATCGATCTGTGATTGGTTAGGAGGAATGAAATCTCCCGTTTGAGAAGTCGTCAATGGAGCAGCCGGTCACTTCTTAATCACATGATGTGGTTTCCGTGATTGAAACACAACTGGCACTATATCTTGTCTAAGTGAAGGCTAATCACGCTGCTCGTATTGAGCCACTGGGTAGACGGTCACCCGTTCGAGATTCTGATTTTTGCGAGATGCGCACTTCTTCCCAATAAGGATGAAACAGATGTACAATGCTTCTCGACTTTCCACAAACTACCAAAATATTGGCAGTTTGGGTGTACTTTTCTGGTGGTTGATCCGTTCGCTTGGCAACCAGGCTGCGAACGAGGAAGTACCCACTCGGTTACACACTGATCATGCCTCCTCGACGAAAAGTTCGCAAACTAATTGCCACACTCTTTGAGAAGACAAGCGGCCAATTGATCCGCCTCAGGACCCACAAACTTCAAGATCGGCCACTGTCAGGGCGCGCCCAGACAAAACGAAACGTACATGTGCAGAGAGTGACGCATCCCCAAGATCACCATCGGTACGACACGTCCAGAAAGCAGGTGAGTTGGCGGGCCAAATACGGCGTAACCAATAGACGGCAACCCACGATACAACAAATGCTATCTCGAGCGATGAACGTTAATGGGTTTTCTGAGAGCATGAGAACAGTCATGATTGGTTGGAATTTATTTATTCCTATGCATCAAGACGACTCAACTCAGTTTATCAAAGCACGTTAATCGCAACTGTTCTAGTGGAAGATGGAAATTCAGTCGGAATGGCCCAGGCATTTAGTCACTTTTTTCGTCTGCATTTATCATAACCTATACATATTTCATGAGGCTATCGAGTCTGTAAGGAATGGACCGACATTTCATGTAGACGAGTCGGGATCAAATGCACTATTCTATAATTTATGGTTGCGAATTATATTCACATACAATCTGAGAAAAAGTGAACTTGAGCTGCTCACCTGAATTGACTCTACAAATGCATCTCTACCCAACACGGCTCAAAAGTTCACGTTTCCGTCACGATTGTCTACATCTCATCCTTCAAGCATTTCACTTTGGAATTTTGTTGTCGCTTTAAAGACGTAGGCGATGCATAGATCTCCTCACGTTCAATCACGCGGCCCTAACCCACTGTTGTGGTACCTCACGAAATCAAGTCGTAACTGGTAACATGCTCCCTGATCGTGTTTTCCGGGTTCTACTATTAGCTATGGTTTACTTCTCGTTTGCATGTGGGTCCTACTTGTGATGTCAGACAAGTTATATAAAGAGTGTGAATTTCACTCACACCCCAAAGCAGCTTATCACTAGCTGATGTGGCGAGTAAGTCAGTGAAATCGTCATAGGGCTTGATTAATTCTGACCGTCCCATGAGTCAGTATACGAAGAAAGAGAACAACACACTGTTGCCTCCGTCGGATGAACGTATCCGGGTTCCGATAACCTATCAGGACCTGGGATAGAAGCCATTGTCTCTCAAATTCAATTGAGGAAGCTGTGTTTTGAACTCCGCACAATTTCACTAGGTTCGGAACTGCTTTACAGGGGAAAGGGATTGTCAAAACTTGGATGACGGGAAGGTTAGGTTTGACGCCAAATTACACATTCGATTTCGTCAAACCTGAAGCATGTTATCGAAGGCGGCTTTCCCAAACTAGGGTCCTCTCACGTTCGTTGGAACGTTGATGACCACATCTGAATTACCACTGAAAACGTCTTTGACTCCACAGACGTGATGTAAAAAGAAGTTGGACAAAGTCCACTTGGGGGACAGCCTGGCCGAAAGAATGCGTTGCTAGATTAGTCACTGCGGACACATCTGGGTTTCACATTTGGGCGCATGTTCATGAATTTCACCTTAGGGCTGCCAGGTGAATATCAACATACGGGGACAATCGGTGTGCCACTCACGCATGCTGTCAGAAAATATCGTTCAGATTTCATCAGGCATATTTGAGGTAGAAGATGGTGGACAAATGTTACACTGAACTGGATTACCCAAAGACACTTCCCAGCGCGTTATATGCTTTGATATGGGAAAACTGATAGAGACGTTATAAACCTTGATCAGGCCATCAGATGGTGTAATACAGCATATTTGAGGTAGAAGATGGTGGACAAAGGTTACACTGAACTGGATTACCCAAGGACACTTCCCAGCGCGTCATATGCTTTGATATGGAAAACTGATAGAGGCGTTATAAAGCTTGATCAGGCCATCAGATGGTGTAATAAAAGCTTTGTGTTAATGGCGTCTTTCAGCATGGGCCGTCATATTTTAATTCAATCGTGTGTTTCACCTCACCACTTGAGTGTACGATATAGCAATATCTTACCGTTTAGTTTTGAAAAAAAAACCGCCTGATTTGAACGACAATGTACGCTCTTTCGTTAAGCTCTATTGAATACTGCTGAAGTAGGCAAATTCGCAATTTCCGTTTATCTATGGTGTGCCAGAAAAGCATCTGAGAAGTCCTGATAGGTGGGTTAACCGATCGATGCAACCAGGACAGTAACCGGGTCTTCGTTCGAGGCGTCGGGCAAACAAATCACATCACCCAATCGTAAGAAGTCATAATTCCGGTGTGTCCAGCGCGTGCTGGGATGGTAGTGGTAGCACGCTCTCTTCGTGCTGCCTCACACGTTCGGGGTACGCTCCTTGCTGCAACCAAGGATATGTACTCTTGCCGAGCTCTAATAGGGACAAAACTCCTGTCCACGACCAACTGTGAGGGGCCACGAGCAAGACTGTCCAATCGGGAGGGATTTGGATGTGAACTCTACCGATCCTGGAATAATCTACAAATAAACAAGCAGACTAGTGAAACATGGACTTCTTTCACGGTGCTCTAGGAGGTTCGTTACCCCTAGCTTGATCTACTACCTGCAAACTAGAGTAAAATATGTCAGTTAACTGGTTCCTCTCAATATGCCATAAAATGTTAGTTAACAGGTTCTTCTTAATAACTAGTGCCATTTCAAACAGCGCGATATCCCTTTTTCTTTCTTTGTGGCGCCAAACATAATTTGTTTTGGCGTTTTGCATTGGGTAAGAGTAATTTTGGCCAATACAGTCTAATAGTAAATCTACTTCTGGCCAGAAAGAACGATGTTCAAAAATCGGTTCCCTTGGACTTCTGTAGCCACCAGCATTTACAACCCGTGATCAAGGCTTCCCTTATCAGCCTACATATGGACATCTGATTTAATTTCATGTGAGCCTAATCTCTTGGTGGATTACTTTGTAATATGAGCCTGGTACAAGTAAATGCCGAAGTTTATCCTACAACAAGCATCTTCAGGGGAGACCCGATGCTCACAAGTATTATTTGATTGCCCTGTTTCAGTTCACGGTTAACTTCTGACCGTTGTTGCGTTGGCCCGAAAGTATGTCTGCATGTAGCTATGCCGTTGGAATAGCCTTTTCAATTCGACGCCAAAACATTTGTTTATGTGAAGTCAACAGTAACCAGTGTGGAAGTTGAAGGAAGAAACCTTCAGCCGAAAAACGTGTATGAGAATACCTTCTGAGGCAATAATTACCGACTGAAGTATGTGCACTGGTGATGAGCTTTGAACCCAATCCACAAATTACAACAGGTCAAGAGGACCACTGCTCAAACGTGAACGCACAAATCTATCAACTGTCTACAACTCTTAATTCTCTAAACACCTAGCTTTGAGAAACAAACAACTAAACGTACAAGCTAGGATATATTCAGTATTGCTCCCAGGCGTATCACATTTTGACTGATTGTGGCAAGGATTCAGATTGGTTTCATCAAAAACCATAGAAAACAAGATACAAACAAAAGGCAAACACTGGGCTAGATGTCAAAGTTGAGTCTGACCAGCCGTCTGTTCTACCGCGTAACATACGTCAGTCAGGGTATCTGAATGTCTGATCCTTTCGGCTTACCATAGAAGCCGCGTGACTATGGGAAGTGATATTCTTTGGTCATTGCTTCAGCCGATGTGGAGTCCCGGTGCTCGTGCGACGATAGAAGGTATCTCAGCAAGTTCGGCTTTTGAAACCGGGTATTCACAAACTGTTTAGAATATCTCCCGAGCATAGTTTTCCTCGCAGAATGACCCAGATCTTTTCCCCATCACTTTGATGGCTAGTGTTTCCCAAATCGAAAGTTGAGTATAGTTATTGCTATACTGTATACCTTGTTAGGAGAGGGCGATCGACCGACGGTTGTCTGCATTGGCGGTATTCCAAATGAGGAACAGGACAGTGCGAACAAAGTTAATGTTGATTCCCCGTTCACTCGTCCCAAACAGATCTTCGTTGACGGACGTTCAATAAACGTATAGACATAATTATATGCCAATTGTGTGGTTCGCATGTCACTATAGAAGTCCACAATAAGTTCTACCGCGACTACATTGTGTTGTCATCCTATAAGCCAGAGAAATGACAGGAATCTACAAACATGGCCAAAACATCGTGTAATGCCTCTCTGTGGTTTACTGCACAACATCCGATGACCCAAAACGATGTCTGATAGTAGAGGACAAAATAAGTGAGAGCGTTTTAGTTTGGTGGGTTAAAGCGCTTGCGGTGAACTGGCAGAAGATGTCAAAAAATGGAATATAGATTGTTGAGAGTCAGTTTTGATTAGTGCGGAAAACGCCAAGAATATAATTTTTTATAAGGTTGCATCAACGTGATCTTTTGGTTCAATCATCAAGCAGTCCAAGTTGTGACAAGAATGATAAGGACCACTATCCGATCGATACTTGCGAAAACAGAATCAGACAAATGAGACCTCAAATTCGCGGGAGGTCTTGAACGGATAGAAAAAGAATTGGTGAAGGTGGGAGCAGAACATATAGGGAAAACTTGCTAAAAATTTTCCTCATATGTAGGTCGACGGAAAAAGGAGTTGCCGCTGCCGTGGGCAAATGCCTGAATTTGGTGGGCTTGAAAGAGTTAGACAAACAACCTGATTGTAGTTGTAATGCACTATTCACAAGGTTGCTGAAAACTTGTCGACAGCGACCGACCGGTTTTGCCCTTCTTGGGGCTCATCAGGTGGATGCAGTCTCCGAACCATCACAAACGAGTGATTCAGCTGGGTTCGAGTTGAGTTTCTCGAGAAACCAAATTAGTTTGCAAATGAGTGTATTTCACTAACCTGATTATAGCTTCGGTGTGCTGCTAATATATAAGACAAAGAGTGAAAGTTTTACCAGGCGACTCTTGAACCCCAAGCGGAAGTTTACTCAGTCTGGCTGTCAACAGTTTCTTGAAAGGTAACACGGGAAAACTGGAAACGAATTTGGAGATTGATAACTTAATTATTGGAAAAAAGGACACATAAACCAATTAAGCGATGCGGGAGAATTAAGAGTCTCAATACTAAGAAGCAGCCCGGAGCAAAAATTTGCTTGTGATGGAAGAAATATCGGGAGACGTTTTGTTGAGAAAAATGTGGAGCCAGTGGATAAGTTTAGGAAGCACAAGGTTTCCTCCGNTAGAAGCACAAGGTTTCCTCCGCGGGTAACCATAGTATATAGTATAGTATAGTATAGTATAGTAGTATAATATAGTATAGTATAGTATTGGTCACAACGAGTGACCAAATATAATACTTAACCATTCAATGTTGCAACATTGTTAATGAGCTATTATTAATAATACTACTCATTACTTCAGCGAGCCCTAGCAATGAACGATTCACCGTTTTGTTTACTGGATGTATGGGCCCCACTTGAGACTACAAGCGGATGGGCTTGAAGTAGATAAAGGCAGCAGGTTCACTCACAGTGCTGATCAAAGCTGAGTCGTTAGAGGGGAAAAAGGTTCGAACTGAAAACTCCGATCTAGTTCGGCGTATACCATAAGGTGAATCCGGTCAATAGACTTTGGTTGCTCAGGCAAACCACCCAGCTATGAATAATATAATGTATCGCACCAAAGTACAATTCAATGTCGTTTCGCCTATCCATCAACCATCCTAGCCTTTTAGTCCCACTTGTGCGCCTCTGTCTAATTTACAAGTAACACTCGGTGTGAATAGCACTCTGTTCCGACTACCGACTAGTAGATATGACGACAGGTAGAACTCACAGTTTTGGGGGCTGCATGAAAATTGCGAATCTGGAAGATGGTCTCGGGTCGATCGTCTTATTAGGGTTAGCAGTTATTCACACAGGTGTCTGATGCGCCAATTATTTCCTCGAGTGATCTCTAATCAAAATATGGACAGTTTTTAGTTATTGTTCCACAGCAAAGGACACTTGGTAATAGCAGTATCAAGCCATTACATTTAACACATTTGGGGGCCTAACTGCATGCCGCCTGAAGGAAGCACGAGGGCTGAGTTGGTGCCAAGTTGCCCAAGGTTAGTTAGGAAAAGTCGAGAGGCAAAGGTCGGATTCAAGCCGCTAACCTTTCGATCAGTAACTTGGCGCTCCAACCAGTGAGCTATCTCGCCCAGTTCCCCAGTGTCCGTAGCCTGTGCACTTAAATATCGGAATACTCGAGGTAAACTAGTCCGATTATTATACAGAGATTCGCCACAAACTGAGAACTAGAAGGTAGCAGCGTAGATATATATATATATATAGAGAGAGAGAGAACAGAGGAGCCAAACTGATCCCTGGACGCCGATGGAATATTCCGCCAAAAATATAATGACAGACCCGCCGTTGTGCAACGAGTTATGAGTCACCGACTGCTCCCAACTGATTTACCTAGCCATTCTGCAAAGGTATTGAATAGAACTGGTGTTTAAGCTGAACCGACATCGTCATAATTAACATCTTCTAGGTGTCCAGTTCCAATGTCATTAGAAAGAAAGCGGGATGATTTGCTGTCAGTTTGGATCCAGGGTGGGGAACTACGGACTGACTCGTGAGTAAATTCATGCCTTTACTACTGAACCGCGAAAGGTTCTATAATGCTCCGGAGTGCCACAGCAACCTTCAGGAGGCTATATTGAGGAAAGTGACACTGATTGGAACAACACATGATACAAACGGTAAACAAAACGTTTTAATACGGCTTTCTCAGCAAACAGGAAGAAAAACACACCGATACGAAAGGACAACCGAATGCCGATTGTGGCACCAAGACATGTCGGTTGAGTGGTTTCCGTTATCTCGAATGTGAACCAGAAACTCACGATGACAGAGTGTTTTACTCTCATCCAAGCCCATTTAAGGAACATCCATCTATGAAAAACCACATAGTCCACATAACTGCGCGTCATTCGAACACTGTTTGTTTTAGTACAGTGAGGGATGTCGTGCTTGCAAACCAGGTTGCTCTCTAGAATGAGGTCAACTTTCAATGAGTGCGAAGTACTGTGGCAACCGTTGCAACTTGCTGTAATGCGAAACAGTATTGAATCAATATATTTGATCCTGTCAACTGATCCCGCCGTAAACACATGGATTCATAGATCACCATATTACACGAATGCTATCAAAACAAGCTCTTTGCTTATATAAAAAGAACCGATTTCCTCCAAGTTCACATCTGGGCAAAGGTATGTAGCGTCTAACAATGTAATTTCAGGATATTTTCAAGAAAGCGAATGAATGTTGGCGGATCTAGTATGGTAGCCAAAGTCGCCTTCAGAAAACAAGAATTCTACATAATATATTCATATTACATAACATATGAACAGGAAACACATACTTGCCTGTCCTGGTCGGTCCAATTTAGCAGAGGCCATCCTCTTTATTTACTTGACTCTTTCTCAGCAACAGGTCATCTCGGGAAACAACTAAGAACAAGGGAAGACATCGCTGTCCTACTTTTGAGGAAACAACTTTAGAAACCAAAATAGAAATCTAACAGCACCCACGATGTGTAGGCCTTTAAGTAAGAAATTACTTCAAGCGATTAGCTATCGTTCCATCAAATGAAACTTCCTTTGTTGACCCCAATTTGCTTACGCGCTTTCAAAAAGCCGTATTCCAGGAGGTTCTTCCTCCTGTAGCGCATCAAAACCATTTAAGTGACGTTTATGTCCGCAAGATTGGGAGGGCTCGAACCCTAGCCTCGTGCTTGCGGATGAACCGATTAAGGTAGTAGATAAATTTGTTTACCTGGGCAGCTGCATCAGTCCCGGTGGTCTCACGAAAGATGAAATTTCCATCCGGATTGGGAAGGCCAGAGCAGCTTTTGTGAAACTACGTCACCTGTGGCGTAGTCGTGACATCAGTTTCTTTGTCAAGGGTCGAGTTTACAATGTTGCGGTGCGCTCCATATTACTATATGGATCTGAAACATGGCCGCTGCGCGCCGAGGACGTCAAAAGACTTTCAGTGTTTGACCATCGATGTCTTCGGAGCATTGCCCGAATCTGGTGGGAACACCGGATCAGCAATTCTGAAGTACGTCGAATGGTATTCGGGAGAAATAACTCACCCTCGATAGATGAACTGATCACACTGCACAGGTTGCGTTGGCTTGGCCACGTGCTGCGTATGCCAGTCGACCGACTTCCTCGAAGGGCTCTTTTCGCCCAACCATGTGAAGGGTGGAAGAGAGCCAGAGGCGGTCAAACAATGACTTGGCAGCGAAGTATGAAAGCCATTACCAGCAAACTCAGCTGCGCTGGTCACTGCCGTCTTCCTGGATGGGGACCCCGAGACGGGCCACATCAGTGGCTGGAAACATTGTCAGACATGTCCCAGTCGCACCCTCAATGGCGCTCGTGCATCCAAGCTATTGCCTTCAATGCATAGCTCCTTTTCCAACCCCCCTCCACTTGACAGCCCACTGTACCTATCCTCCCCCAAAACATCAGCGAACGAAACTGCGGCAGCTACAACCACTGTACGATGAGTACGCGGTTATTACAGCTGATGATGATGATGATGATGATGATGATGATATGTCCGCTCAAACCTTGAGTTGCCAGTGATGGATCCCAACTATCTTCTCACCAGTCTCTGACACAAAACGATGGTGGTGTTTCAAAATGTCGTGACGCTTTCCATTTTCTAATCGATCCCAGGGAGTTACGTGGACTGTTTGGAAATCTGTCCAAGCGTCGTGACGAGATAAAAAAGCTCCTCGAAGATGTAATCCGGAACCATGGGCCGAGTATCCAGTGAACGATGTGTAATGATTACTTCGCTTTCAGCTATCCTATTGATATTCATTAATTTATACAACACGTAGGACGTTGAACAACTGAAAGCATTTCAGGGCAGAGATGATCTACGAAACCTCCAAATCAACTGGTTTTGAGCTCGATTTGCACAGTATAGTCTCTGGTAGTAGTGCTCACTCACACAATTATTGCCATGTGGAAGTCAGCACCGTCTAACCACAACGCCGTTTGCTCCAATCTACTATTGCCATCCGCTTCTGACATCTAGATCTGTTTCTCTCTCCCTCAAATTTAGTAGCAGTCGTAAGTAGTATTTCTGGAATCATTAGGTTTTGTGTAATATTGACGGGATGTAAGGAGGACATGGTGATTCTCTTGAGCTGTAAAGAGCTTACTGTCTTGATGAAAAAGTTGAGCTAAGTTGTTAAGAGAAGAGTTGGCAGCTCGCTTTTCCACACACACACACACACACACACACACACACACACACACACACACAGTCACCGGCAGATATCACATTGTGGGAATCTTTGCACTTGTACCTTACAAAGTTTGCTAAAGATATCTTTGTCCTACACACTCGAGTAAATAGTAGTCCCTCACTAACTAGTGTTTCAGACGCTTCTGGCTGCTGGATTCTGTAGAATGCCTACTCACATGATTCTCAGTTGAAAAAATGACCTCGTGCCTCGGCGCTTTCATTCTGGTGAGTCCATACCAAAGTGGAAGTACTGACCTCGAGTTTTCCTCTCATTGTAGCTTATCAGCAGTGCATATCCAATGGCTATGGCAGAGCCTGAACTCCGCGCATCTGATATGCGAAGGGAGCGTGTTGTCATTACTCCACCAGCGCACGGATGGACTTCTGAACAGGTGAACAGGTTCGCGCTTGAGTACTCTGAGCGGAACGCCCGAGGCCTCTAGAAACGACCCAGTAACATGCCCTGATTTTGCCGGTCGATTGTTGCTTGGTTATTCACTAGGTGGCTGCTGAACATTTCCCACAGTTTGGTAATAGGCCTTCAGATCAAACATGAAGGCACCATCATTGCGCGGACAAAAAATCACGCCGGATATAATCCGTTTTTGAGATACCAGATCAAACAAACTGCTCAAGTGACATTCTTTTATTTATTTATTTATTTATTTATTTATTTATTTATTTATCTATTTATAGATTTCGCATTAAACAACGATCACGTGCAATTTGAACATAAAAATTCTGAATATTTCCGTCTGTGTATTTATTTCGTAAAAGCATGTGTCCAAATAAATGTGACATTCAGGGAACACCTTCAAAAAATCGGGTAGACGTTCAAGTATTGACATTTCTAAAGCGACTGAAGATGAAATCAATAAATTTTGTTGTTGCTTCTGGTAACCGACGCTTCGTCGGTAATGTGCGCTAGGAGTAGTGGATTATTTCATTCCAACATCTATGGATATGTCTAAGCTTCAAGTGTATTAGTTTGTAGCTTGCCTCGAGTGCATTTTTTCAACCGTAGATATCGCCTATGTCCTCGGCCACGAGCAACCTTCTTCGGACATGTCAATATGCAATAAGATAGCCTAAATTTAAAAAAGCGCGTTTTTTCTCAGTTTTGCCTACAGTAAAACGCTGTCTAATGCAAGTTAGTCACAGACGGATTTCGTACGGCACCCTATGGACGGGAAAAATCTGCACACAGTTTGCTTTGGAAGCAAGGGATTGGTTTGTGAGAGGCGCACAATATTCAATTTGTTCCGTGTGTCCGACATTTAGAAATTGTTGAGGCCATATCCAGGTTTGTCACTTGTCGCAGCCAGGCAAAAATCGCAATACAATGATTCCTGCTTTTTCAGTAGCTTTTTAGGTAGTATGTAGACCGTAAAAATTTTACTGCGTAATCCTCCCAACAGCTCCATGGAGATTCGCGAGGTGTGTATCTCCAACATTTATTAATAAAGACAAAACAGCTGATTATAATTGCAATACGAAATATTCATTGGAAAACTGGTTGGCTCATGAATCTAAGCAAAACGCGACCAAAACCGATTTAAACTCGCGTCATTAAGTGACACAGAACCCAGGAACTGAAGCAGGCCAAAGCAAAGGTGGCTTCAAAAGTAGAAGTGATTGTGAGTAGTATGTGAGCATGGATGTGGATTAATCGGTGCCGGATAGCTCAGTTGGGACCCTATTCAAGTCCGAAATATTGTACAACTGAGTACATTTTCCAAACACTAATTGATGAGCTCTAGCTGGGTTACCATGTCTGCTCAGAGACAGAGCATCTCATTCCAGATCGCCACCCGTATTGAAAAAAAGAATAAGGTTCCCTTCAAAACACTCCATTGACGCGAATCTATTAACATTTTCCTTTCGGGATTTTGAACTATGCCATTGTTGACCAAATTCCGCCTTAAAGTTTTAACTCGGCGGCACAGTTTTGAGACTTCACCCAACATGTCGATTAGTGTTCTCTCACACAAGGTATTTTATCACAAAAACTGTGGTGTGAACACGCCTGATCAAAACGTCACCGTAAATGCATGGTCCACCGACTAGTGGCGACGAATTTCAACCGGTTGCCGAGTTGCTGACTGATCAAAAAAGCCACAACTCCTAGTTGTTTTAAGCTCTTTGATCTAGAGAAATGTTCAATAAACCACTTTCATTTTGAACGGAATCTAGTGTCTAACTCGACACAACTCGGAAAACAAATGTGCGCGTTGGCTGTCTCAAATGAGTGCTAATTTACCCTGAAGCACGTTAGTAGATACGGAATAAATTAGAAGGTATTTCTGAGCTCCATATTCGTTTCAACAATGGAGTTGCATGTGTTTGTCTCCTCATACATCAGGGTCAGTCTGAGTTGAATTTAGTCCTTTTCTGTTCATGTCCCGTGGATTGACATTGAGTTACGTTGAGGCAAAAGAGCAGATGCTGATGGAACCTCGCATTTAGCCGATAGTCCTTCCTTACACGATGGGCATCTCAGGATATCTTACAAAGTATAAGATGAACATATTTACTGAACCGGTTAGTGGACAGTCATTCGAGACGCCTCGAATAGCACAGAACGCTTTACAACCATTCCTGGATGAGCTAACTCTCTAATGTGAAGAACAGGAACCCAAAATTTGAAAGCAGCATTTTCATAAGGCGCAGATGAACTGAATCGGTACGCTTGCTCGACTGCAGTCTGGAAACTGTAGTTATTTTACGTTCTTGAGGACGAACTGGGTAGAACCGGGGAATCGTGCACACTGGTAATCCACCAATGGTTGAGTACATCTTACCAGCCAACTCGAAAAGTTCACCGGAGCTGATCATTGCGCGTTCGCATTGGTTACACCAATGCTGGCCCCACTTTATGAGCACATTGGAAAGACATAAGCTTTCAACCACTTGAAGGTTCGACCGTGTGAGTTGGACGTCCGCATGGGTGTCCAAGATCTAATCTGCACGGCCACAGAAGTGAAGGCTCTCCGGTACATTTTCAAGGGGAAATTGCCAAGAATAGGTTGTTCTAACAGAACGGTCGTATCTAAGCAACACCCTGATCGATTTTCCCGACTATCAATTTATAGCATTTTGAATGTACCCTTCCTCGTTTGTGAGGACAACTGAGCAAGAAGACTTTACAACTACAGCGTATTCATCTATCTTCACAAAGCGACCACCATAGGAGAGGCTGGAGTCGGTCTGCTCTTGGTGTAATGGACGGGCTCTTACTCACCACAAGGACAAGTTCGTTTGTACTTTAAAGCGGCTCTTATAATCTGTGCAGAATATGGATATGCAGTAGGAAGAATCTGCTAACGGATTCTCTGCAACACGTCTTGCCCTTCGCTGCAGACATCAAGACTCTGCGTCTTAGCATGACAGAATGAGAAATGGAAAACTATGAATATATTCATTGGGTCCGACACTGGGCCCAAAAATTGATCCTAGCACAAGCAATCCAGCTTTGTTCGATATTCCGGATCAATGTGCATCTCACAACGTAAGTGGGTCGCGAACAAGTTATGAAGGGATGCAAATCAAATTAGCTGTTAAACCCAAACAGTACGGGTCCCCTCCTTTCGATGGCCCCCGACCCGGCAACACGAGGGAAATTGCCCGGAATAGCTTGTTCTAACAGAACGGCTGCATCTGAGCAACACGTTGAACAACAGATCGATTTTTGACTATCAATTTATCACATTTTGAACGCACACTTCCTCATTTGTCAGGACAAATGAGCAAGAAGACTTTACAACTACAGCGTATTCATCTATCTTCACAAAGCGACCACCATAGGAGAGGCTGGAGTCGGTCTGCTCTTGGTGTAATGGACGGGCTCTTACTCACCACAAGGACAAGTTCGTTTGTACTTTAAAGCGGCTCTTATAATCTGTGCAGAATATGGATATGTAGTGGGAAGAATCTGCTAACGGATTCTCTGCAACACGTCTTGCCCTTCGCTGCAAACATCAAGACTGTGCGTCTTAGCATGACAGAATGAGACAAATGGAAAACTATGAATATATTCATTGGGTCCGACACTGGGCCCAAAAATTGATCCTAGCACAAGCAATCCAGCTTTGTTCGATATTCCGGATCAATGTGCATCTCACAACGTAAGTGGGTCGCGAACAAGTTATGAAGGGATGCAAATCAAATTAGCTGTTAAACCCAAACAGTACGGGTCCCCTCCTTTCGATGGCCCCCGACCCGGCAACACGATCTCAAGCGTTGTCTCGGCAATCACGTATCATACCCAAGTCTCGTATTCACAGTTCTGCAATAGGTTGCATGAATTTGGCGTTGCTGACTTTGGTTGTGTGTTTGTTCTGAATCTTGCTCTTCCTTAGTCAAAATAATCTTTCTACAGATGGAAAGTTACCCAAGCTTAAACTGATAAACAGCATTCGAATCAGCGCGCGGCCCTGAGAGCATATCGTAACAAGTGTACGGGACAACAGGCTTTCCCTCATAGTGTATAACTTTGGTGGTAGATGTCGCACAACGTTCCAATATCTCATTGAAATTTACGTTCAAGAGCATCTAAGCCTGGGAAACTGAATGTCCGTGATTAGCTGTGGAACGCTAGCCGCTTTGACCTATCATATAAGCCGAGTGATTACCATTTGACCAAAATGGTTCACTCGGACACTGTAGTTCAAAATCAATAATCTGATATGCACAAATCCGACTCGTTCGCTTACAGTCATTTGTAAGTCATGCCTGTAAATGTTCTGGTCAGTCTAGGTGGACGAATGGTCAATAGGTTTGAAAACGCTACCTCCGGAGGGTTGTCCAGGGTCCATAGTTTGACGTGCATCCCATTATCAACACTCCGGTTAAAACAGGTGTCCAATGGGACAGAAAAAAGTGAGGATATTTTTGCTTCCCATCCGCATCCAGGGATCATTAGGATGTACTTAACATATGTAACGTGGATCGTGAGCTCCCTGCGTGTGGATGGATGCGTTCTTATCCATATTTCGCGAAAAATGGAAACATTAGTGCAATCGGGTGTGGTGAATTACGTCCCAAAGGAAATGACAACTGTGTGGTATGGTCAGATGTCACTCGGACAGCTATTATCATGTAACCGTTAGATTCTGGTTTTGTTTAGCTTTGGACTTCCAACCAGGCATTTTGCTGCGGTTAGTTTACGATACAACAGTGAGCAAACCCTCCAACCCATTAATTCCAAATAAAAGTCAAAATCCTGAGGTAGTTGCATGATGTGTACCGAGTTCATCGACAGATTGTCATCTACGTGAAAGTCGGCATTGTGACAACCTGTTAGCTACATCTTGTGCAGCAGTACGAAACGGAAGGTGAAAACCGGGAGTTTGCAGTCAGAAGGAATCGATCATATTGTTAGCTGTCCCTTGGT